TTTTGCCTAATGAATAAATTAAAAATCATTGAGATATTGCCACATCCTGAAAAGATGTGTCTTTTGGGATATGGCAAGGAATGTGAAATAACTTGCTGTATAACAGAAGCTTGCTGTTCCTGGCCAGAAGAAAGGTCATAGGTACCATTTTCTTCTTCTCCCCTGTTACAGAAACATCTCACAGACTATGCGTTATGGTATAGTCCTTACACTGTGGCTCCACTTAAAAATATAAAATGCGATTAAACAACATTGGACATGCACATGGTGGGCATGTCTTGAGCGGAGCCGGCTGGAGCCGGGGGTCAGACTAGATGGCCCTGGAGACCCCTTCTGACTCGCTCTGTTTCTCTGTTTTCATGTTTCTAAAATCACTTCATAAGCCGGGGTGCCATAGTGTTGGATGGGGACTTGGGTGTCCCCCAGGCAAGTCCTAGAGCAGACTGGGTGATTTTGGGCCATTCTCAGACTCCACCTAAACTAATCTCATGGGCCTACTGTGAGGATTAAATGGAGAAGAAGAAGAGAATTGTGTGTCTTGGGTTGCACACAAGAGGAAAAAGGTGGGATGTAGATGAAATCTAGTAGTGTTAATAATAGTAGTAATAAGAATAGTAATACTTGACAGCAGCAGAAAAAAAACCTTAAAGCATAGGCCTGTTCAAAGAGATAAATGAGAGAGTATTCAAAATAAATAAACATACTAAATCTTTAAACAACTCATTTCATTTTATTATTACATTTGTATGCTGCCCCATAGCCCATAGTGCTCTCTGGGCGGCTTACAATAGAAAAAAAAAGAGTATATATTCCTTAGAAATACAATAATACATTAAAGCTGTACAATTAAGCAATACTATATTTAACTGTAGGCAATACAAAATCAAACAAACATTAATACAATAATGCAATACATAATATCAATATAAGTGCCTGGCTATACTAAAAAGCAGAGACATCACCCTGCCGACAAAAGTGCGTATAGTCAAGGCTATGGTTTTCCCAGTTGCAATGTATGTCCGTGAAAGCTGGACCATAAGGAAGGCTGAGCGCCAATGGATTGAGGCCTTTGAATTGTGGTGCTGGCAGAGTCTTCTGCAAGTCCCTTGGACCGCAAGGCGATCAAACCGGTCAGTCCTAGAGGAGATCAACCCTGACTGCTCTTTAGAAGGCCAGACACTGAAGATGAAATTCAAATACTTTGGCCACCTAATGAGAAGGAAGGACTCAAGGACTGGAGAAGAGCCCAGTGCTGGGAACAATAGATGGCAAAAGAAGAAGGGGACGGCAGAGAATGAGGTGGCTGGATGGAGTCACTGAAGCAGTCGGCGCAAGCTTGAGTGGACTCCAGGGGATGGTGGAGGACAGGAAGGCCTGGAGGAATGTTGTCCATGGGGTTGCGATGGGTCGGACACGACTTTGCGACTAGCAACAACAAATATATAAGTGATAATACGTGATTGGCTATATATGCATTTTTAAAAGCCCAGTTAAGGATGTACAGAGGAGAACCTGTACACACCACAGTGAAAAGATCTTGTTTCGGCTGGCTCGATCTCATAGGTGGACCTCCACGGAAGACCTCTGAGGCAGCTCATGATGCCTGGGCAGGTGGATCTTCATGCAACCAGGCCCAAAATGGTTCAGCACTTCACAAGCCCAAGCCTATAAGTACTCTGGATTGAATATTTCCCAGGTTCTCAATGGGATGCCTCCATCCTGGCAGACATTCCTTTCCTGCAAAAGTACTGAGTTATCAGTGGTGAGTGTTGGGTTTCTATCTGCATGGTCCCAGAAGAGCATTCTCTGTGTCTTTTCAGCTTTCACTTCACGGCTCATTAAGTCTCTATGAGAGAATTTCCTTCAAGCATTTTGTCTATCCCCTATTGTAATGAGGATGCTGTGGACTCTTGGCCTGATCTAAGAGGCCTCTTGTTATTTGGTTAACAAACAAAATTTATATTAGTCAAGCAATACATTTAACAAACAAACCAACCAGTAATAGATGCAGTGGGTGAAAGAGAGAAACCTTTGGAGGCCTGATCTCACTCTTTTAGTTCAAGGGGAGAATTGGAGGTTGACACAAGCCAGAGGAGACTGTGGCACTCCACTGCCCCGTTGGCACTGCTTGGGATTTCTTTACTCCCTTGCTGTACAACTTGGCACAAGCGATCATGTAAACAGCATCGGGGTTGTTGCTTTTAGTAGTTGGAGCTCTCACACAAGTTCCTAGAGAAACATCTTGATCTACGAATGACCCAGGATAATCAGCAGGGGATGGGGACTGGAATTCCTAAAGGGGTTGTTATTTCAGGGTAACAAACACCATGTTGCTTTTAAAAGGGGAGGGGGGAAATCCAGTTTGATGAAATGTTCTACTTGTTTTGAATGTGGATCTTTGTAATTATAGGGCACTTCTTAAAAGATTGGGGACCACAATAAAGTGGATCCAGAAACCAGACAAGTGCTTTCGTTTACTACCCTTGTAAATGTATTTCCTCCCCCACTCCTCTACCATGACCACTGAGGCACGCCAACCGCTTAGCAGCAACTAAAACCAGCTGCTGGAGATGTTGCTTAGCCCTCTGAAGTGCTTTCAACTTTATGGTGTGTCATAAATTGATGGTGAACTTGGATGGTGCCGTGGTGCTGCTTCACTTCTGGTTAAGTGGAAGTGTTTTCGGCAGCTGCTGATGGGGTCGTGAGCACTGCTGCATTTGCTTGCTTGCTGCTGCTGCTGCCACTGTGGGGAAGCACCAAAGACTTTTAGCTAATTTCTGAGTGACAAGAGTTGCAGGCAGGTCTGCATTTGGGACACAGTACATTTCAGAAAAATGTATGGAACAGGAAATTAAGTGGGCCTGACCTTGATGCTGTGGTGGGTAGGACTGCAGTGTGAGCACCCAATAGGCAAAGCTCAGCATTTGGAAGAGGAAAAGCAAGAGGAAGCAGCAGTAACTGCTGCTGCAGCCAACCAGCATGTCATGGGAAGTTGCTGTCATCGGTCTGCAGTTTTTTTAAATGCACTTTTACTTTATATATACACAGATATTCATATGTAGGAGAAAGGCCCTCTTGGCAGCTGTGCCCATCTCTGGAACACGTACCTGGCGCCGTCCTTGTTTTCTTTTTGTTGCCAGGCGAAAACCTTTTTCTTTCCCAGATTTTTTAATACATAAGATCTGTTTTAATCCTGTTTTTTTAAATTGTATTTGCTGCTATGCTGTGTATTTCTATTTCTATTTTAATTGCTGTAGGTAGTTTGAATGTTCTTTTCATTGTTTTTGTTAATTTAAATATTATTGTATTGTTGCTATATGTTTTTTAAATTGTGAGCAGCTCAGACAGCCCCATGGTCCATAGGAGCAACATAAGAAATTTAATAAATAAGTAAATATTGTGAGGGGGCCACAGTGCAGATGCAAAGTGCCCCTTTTTCCAGCTCACAGGGACCAGGACGATGTCGCAGAACACGAGGTTCAGAAGGGGGCCGTGAGCAAAAAAGGTCCTGACCCCCTGCTGTGCCTGCTGGGGTCACTGAGCCGCAGGGACTTGGCAGAGAGGAGCAGGGCTGAGAGGGGGCCTGGCCGGGTGCCGCACCGCCGGCGACATGCCTGCTGCAGGTGGGGACAGAGCAGCCTCTCGGCCGGGGCCACAGGCCCCAGGCTGGGGGCAGCCCTAGCCCCACGGACAGCACGGACGCCCTCCCTGGGGCCGCCCCTGGACAGGGCGCGCTCTGAGCCGCCGCCAGTTGCACTGGCCGCCCCACTGCTCCCACCCGTTGCTGCATCCCTCTTGCCTGTGGCCTCGTACCCAACTGGGATTCAGCCTCAGCATTTCTCCCCCAAGGGACTCGTCTCGGGGCCAGAAGGGGTTCTGTGCCTGACTCCTCTCAGGGAGCGAAGCACGGGAGAGTCCCACTCTGAATGGCTGTGTCAAAATGAAGGCTCTCGGGAGAGGAATGCTCACACTGCTTGGAAGTTTACTTTCATAGAAACAGAGAAACAGAGTGAGTCAGAAGGGTCTCCCGGGCCATCTAGTCTGACCTCCGGCACCAGCCGGCTCTGCTCACAACATGCCCACCATGGGCATGTCCAGCCTGTCTTTGAACACGCGCACCAATGGGGCCTCAACGACCTCCCGGGGAAGCCCATTCCACACCCTCGGGGTCCTGACTGTCAGGAAGTGCTTCCTGGCATCTAAAGGGGTGGTGGTGGTGGTGGTGGTGCCATTTTTAGGTACCCAGGGAGCAGTGAAAGACTGGGAAGAGCCCTTTTCCCCTGGTCCTGTCCCCAGAAACCCCAGTTTTTCTTTCTCTCTCCTTTTACCCATGGCCCTTTTGGTATTTTCTGGGGATGTGGGTCATCAAACCCTGACTGTCCTGCACACAGAGCATGTGCTCTCCCTGCTTGCTACCTGTGGCGATGGGCGTGTCTCTGAAGCCGCTTTCCCTTCCAGTCCCAGCAACTGACTTGCTTTGTCCCATCGCTGGGGATGGATAAGTTACTACCTGGTGCCCGACTAGACCGAGAGAGCAGCACCCTGTCCTTTTTTCTGTCTGAACTTGCATGGCAGTTGGAAGTAAGGCCTTGTTAGGTAAATCAGTAAATATTAAGGGGTTTTGAGAAGCTGATGAAATGTGCAGGGGGCTTTTCAGGGGGGCTGTGGCTGCTTTGTAAACACTGCGAGGGGCTTTAGTCCAGCCCTGGCTGTGACGTGGGCACGCGGCCGCTGAGCAAGTGGAGCGAACCCGGTCGCTGTGCGCTGCTTGTGCCTGACCCTTTCTTTGGCGCGCTGGACCCTGCTCTAATCCGCAGTGGTCTTCCGCAGAAGGTTGGAGCAGTATATCCCGTGAAGCACTCCTAGCTTTCCGTCAAGTGCTCTTGACATGTGAACACATGGAGAATAAGGTCGTGTCACCTGGCTCAACAAAAGAGGCATGCCTATCCTGTGTTTCTAACTTGCATTTTAATATCTTCCCCCTCCCATTTATTTTGCAGGTACTCCTTTGGTAAGTGAGCATAACTCAGAAAAATCCAATAGTTGTTTTTCGTGCACTTTTGGGTATGTAGCATTTTTTAAATTTCTCTATTGCTTCCCCTCTAGGAAGATGTAGTGGTTCCTTCATGGTGCAAGCCTGGGCACATTTCCTGGCTAGCTGCACATGGGCTGGGCGAGGGCAGGGTCCTTTCTCAGGAAGACACAGGATCAGTTGCTCCTTGTGTGTCCCGGACCAGCTCCAGAAACACATCTGAGATGGTGCAGAACAGCCCGTTGCTTGGAGGCCGGTGGCCTTCAGAGAGACACACGTGCCTTTTGTTGATCCCAGCCTAGCTGTGAAGGTCTCGTCAGAAAGTCTCCATAGAAATTTAAGGCTACACCCATGGAGGACCACCACCACCACCTACTTGCGCACTCTCCTGCCACATGGCTTTGATTCTCAATTCGGGACCACGGGGCCCTGAGCGAGTCAGAAGGGGTCTCCTGGGCTATCTAGTCTGACCTCCAGCTCCAGCCGGCTCTGCTCATGACATTATTCATTTATTTGTTATTTCTGTGATTTATATTTTTATAACCCCTGCCAGTTATGTTCCCAGTAGAAATTGGCTTGGTTTACATTTTAATACTTGAATCAAAAGCATGGTTATACATCACTGTTTGCAAGTCTCCAAATTTTATGACAAGGCTCTCTTGTCAGAAAAAGGTATATGTAAGGGAAACATTTGCACTAGCTGTGCATATTCCTGAAAATGTAAAACGCCTCTTTATGCTAAAGGAAATGGCTTGCACAAATGAGTTGTTGTTAGTCGCGAAGTCGTGTCCGACCCATCGCGACCCCATGGACCACATTCCTCCAGGCCTTCCTGTCCTCCACCATCTCCCAGAGTCCACTTAAGCTCACACCAACTGCTTCAGTGACTCCATCCAGCCACCTGATCTTCTGCCGTCCCCTTCTTTTGCCCTCAATTGTTCCCAGCATCAGGGTCTTCTCCAGGGAGTCCTTCCTTCTCATTGGGTGGCCAAAGTATTTGAGTTTCATCTTTAGTATCTGGCCTTCTAAAGTGCAGTCAGGGTTGATCTCCTCTAGGACTGACCGGTTTGATCGCCTTGCGGTCTAAGGGACTCGCAGGAGTCTCCTCCAGCACCACAACTCAAAGGCCTCAGTTCTTCGGTGCTCAGCCTTCCTTATGGTCCAGCTTTCACAGCCATACAATGCCACTGGGAAAACCCTAGCCTTGACTAAACGCACTTTTGTTGACAGGGTGATGTCTCTGCTTTTTAGTATGTTGTCTAGATTTGCCATAGCTTTCCTCCCCAGGAGCAAGCGTCTCTTAATTTCTTGGCTGCAGTCCCCATCTGCGGTGATCTTGGAGCCCAGGAAAATAAAATCTGGCACTACCTCCATTTCTTCCTCATCTATTTGCCAAGAAGTGAGAGGACCGGATGCCATGATTTTAGTTTTCTTAATGTTGAGTTTCAAGCCAACTTTTGCATTCTCTTCCTTCACCCGCATTAAGAGGCTCTTTAGTTCCTCTTCACTTTCTGCCATGAGAGTGGTATCATCTGCATATCTGAGGTTGTTGATATTTCTCCCAACAATCTTAATTCCAACTGGAGATTCATCTTGCCCCGCCTTTCTCATGATGTGCTCTGCATGTCTAGTTTTTACTCTCCTTTCACCACCAGATACATCAGCAACTGAGTGTCCTTTCGGCTTTGACCCAGTCGCTTCATTCTTTCTGGCGCTACTAGTACTAGCCCTCCGCTGTTCCACAGTAGCACATTGGAAACCTTCCGACCTGAGAGGCTCATCTTCTGGCATCATATCTTTTTGCCTTTTGGTACTGTCCATGGGGTTTTCATGGCAAAGATGACTGGGTCAAAGCTGAAAGGACACTCAGTTGCAGATGTATCTGGTGGTGAAAGGAGAGTCCAATGCTGTAAAGATCTATACTCCATAGGAACCTGGAATGTAAGATCCATGAATCAAGGCAAGCTGGATGTGGTCAAACGAGATGACAAGACTGAACATCGACATCTTAGGAATCAGTGAACTAAAATGGACAGGAATGGGTGAATTTAATTCAGATGACCATCAGGTACACTACTGCGGGCAAGAATCCCTCAGAAGAAATGGAGTAGCCTTCATAGTCAATAAAAGGGTAGGAAAAGCAGTACTGGGATACAATCTCCAAAATGACAGAATGATCTCAGTTCGAATCAAGTCACTGGTGCTGAAGAGGCTGAAGCTGACCGGTTCTATGAAGGCCTACAACACCTCCTAGAATTAACACCAAAAATTGATGTTCTTATCATCATGGGGGATTGGAATGCTAAAGTACGAAGCCAAAAGATAACTGGAATAACAGGCAAGTTTGGCCTTGGATTACAAAATGAAGCTGGGCACAGGCTGGTAGAATTTTGTCAAGAGAATATGATAGTCATAGCAAACACTCTTTTCCAGCAACCCAAAAGACAACTATGTGCTCTGCAGCCAAAGATGGAGAAGCTCTATACAGTCAGTAAAAACTAGACCAGGAGCTGACTGTGGCTCAGAGCATGAGCTTCTTGTTGCAAAATTCAGGCTTAAATTGAAGAAAGTAGGGAAAAGCACTAGGCCACTCAGGTATGACCTAAATCATATCCCTGATGAATATGAGTAGAGGTGACAAATAGGTTCAAGGAATCAGATCTGATAGACAGAGTGCCTGAAGAACTATGGACGGAGGTTCGCAACATTGTACAAGAGGCATCAACTAAAACCATCCCAAAGAAAAAGAAATGCAAGAAAGCAAAATGGCTGTCTGAGCAAGCTTTACAAATAGCTGAGGAAAGAAGGGAAGCGAAAGGCAAGGGAGAAAGAGAAAGATACACCCAACTGAATGCAGAATTCCAGAGTAGAAATTCCAGAATTCCAGCTAGAAGAGGTAAGAATGCCTTCTTATATGAACAGTGCAAAGAAATAGAAGAAAACAGTAGAATAGGGAGGACCAGAGATCTCTTCAAGAAAATTGGAGATATGAAGGGCAGGTTTCATGCAAAGATGGGCATGATAAAGGACCAAAATGGCAGGGACCTAACAGAGGCAGAAGAGATTAAGAAGAGATGGCAAGATTACACAGAAGAACTATACAAGAAAGAGCTTAACATCCCTGATAACCACGATGGGGTGGTCACTGACCTCGAGCCAGACATCCTGGAATGTGAAGTCAAATGGGCCTTAGGAAATCTGAGCAACAACAAAGCTAGTGGAGGCGAAAGTATTCCAGCTGAGCTATTCAAAATCCTAAAAGACGATGCTGTTAAAGTGCTACACTCAATATGACAGCAAATTTAGAAAACTCAGCAGTGGCCACAGGATTGGAAAAGGTCAGTCTACATTCCAATTCCAAAGAAGGGCAATGCCAAAGAATGTTCCAACTACTGCACCATTGCACTCCACATGCTAGCAAAGTGATGCTCAAAATCCTACAAACTAGGCTTCAGCAGTATGTGGACCTAGAACTACCAGAAGTACAGGCAGGGTTTTGAAGAGGCAGAGGAACTAGAGATCAAATTGCCAACATATGCTGGATCATGGAGAAAGCTAGGGAGTTCCAGAAAAACATCTGCTTCATTGACTATGCTAAAGCCTTTGTGTGTATCACAACAAATTGTGGCAAGTTCTCAAAAAGATGGGAGTACCAGACCATCTTATTTGTCTCTTGAGAAACCTATATTCCGGTCACGAAGCAACAGTGAGAACTGGACACGGAACCACTGATTGGTTCAAAATTGAGAAAGGAGTTTGGCAAACCTGTATACTGTCACCCTGCCTATTTAACTTATATGCAGAGCACATCATGAGAAAGGCGGGGCAAGATGAATCACAAGTTGGAATTAAGATTGCCGGGAGAAATATCAACAACCTCAGATATGCAGATGATACCACTCTAATGGCAGAAAATGAAGAGGAACTAAAGAGCCTCTTGATGCGGGTGAGGGAGGAGAGTGCAAAAGTTGGCTTGAAACTCAACATTAAGAAAACTAAGATAATGGCATCCAGTCCTCTCACTTCCTGGCAAATAGTTGGGGAAGAAATGGAGGTAGTGCCAGATTTTATTTTCCTGGGCTCCAAGATCACCGCAGACGGGGACTGCAGCCAAGAAATTAATACACACTTGCTCCTTGGGAGGAAAGCTATGGCAAATCTAGACAGCATACTAAAAAGCAGAGACATCACTCTGCCCACAAAAGTGCGTATAGTTAAGGCTATGGCTTTCCCTGTTGCAACGTATGTCCGTTAAAGCTGGACCATAAGGAAGGCTGAGCACCGAAGAATTGAGGCCTCTGAATTGTGGTGCTGGAGGAGACACCTGCGAGTCCCTTGGACTGCACGGAGATCAAACCAGTCAGTCTTAGAGGAGATCAACCCTGACTGCACTTTAGAAGGCCAGATACTGAAGATGAAACTCAAATACTTTGGCCATCTAATGAGAAGGAAGGACTCCCTGGAGAAGAGCCTGATGCTGGGAACAATAGATGGCAAAAGAAGAAGGGGACGGCAGAGGATGAGGTGGCTGGATGGAGTCACTGAGGCAGTTGGTGTGAGCTTAGGTGAACTCCGGGGGATGGTGGAGGACAGGAAGGCCTGGAGGAGTGTTGTCCATGGGGTCGCGATGGGTCGGACTTTGCTACTAACAACAACTGTGTCTCCACTTCGAAGTAAACCCCACTGAGATTAATGAGACTTAATCCTTGGTGACTTCATGTAGGACCTTAATCTAGTTGGGAGTGAAGTCTGCAATCCTAGAGGTCTTGGCAGAGGGAGGCTAAAGGTATCCAATATATGCTCTTTGCACTCTGAAAGGGCAAGATTTGATATTGGTGTAAGAAATAAATCTTGGCCTGTATACCCCAAAGTCAGTATTGCTTCGTTCAGTGACGTTTACTCCCAGAGAAGCGTATTTTCTGCAGAGTGCAGGCTGTAAAACTAAACGGAATACCCATTGTTACTATGTACCACAGTGG